AAAGTTCCCCAGTCCAAAGGTTGGAGCAGAGACATTTATGAAAGTAGAGACAGTCATGAAACAGATTGGAGCAAAGATTGGATTGGAGCAGAGACATTCATGAAAGTAGAAACACACATATGTATACATGACCATGTACGTACACCATGTGTGTAGGAGAAGTGCTGCAGATGAGATTGTTACAAAAGGAGAATTTGTGGCATGAAAACTTGACTTTCTGGCTAGGCATAGTGGTGCATGGCTGTAATGCCAGCACTAGGAGACGTGAGGCAGGAGGTTCACCATGAGTTCAAGGCCAACCCTCGCTACATAGTGAGCCTAAACTATAGAGTAAGACCGTGTTTCAAAAAACCCAAAAATCCAAACCAAACCCAACCAAATGGCACTTGATTTTCCAGAGAATTAAGAGAGAAAAAAAGCAAGCAAGCAAACAAGCAAGCAAGCAAGAAATAAAGACAGACAGAGCTTTAAAAGTTGCTCTCTCAGGCTGGGGATTTAGCTGAGCGGCATAAGTGCCTGCCTGGCAAGTGTGCAGTTGTGAGTTCGATCCCTGGTACTGATTTAAAAAAAAAAAAAAAAAAGTTGCTCTCTGGGCGTGGGCCTAGGCTGAGCTGATATGACCAAACACACCAAAAAGGTCTGCACTGTGGGTAAATATCAACCTCTATGGTGCCTCATTCCAGAAAATGGTGAAGAAAATTGAAATCAGCAGCACGCCAAGTACACCTGCTCCTTCTGTGGCAATACCAAGATTAAGAGATGGGATGTAAGGATCTGGCACTGTGTCTTCTGCATGGAAACAGTGGCTGTGAGGCCTTGACCTACAATACCATTGCTACAGTCACAGTCAAAGTCAGCTATCGAAGACTGGAGGAATTGAAAAGTTGGTTGAAGCACTACAATTTGAGACATCCCTAGCCTATAATAAATGGGTTAATTTATGTAATAAAATAAATAAATGAAAGTTATTGGTGTAATTTCAAACCACAGAAAACTGGCTCAACAGTAAGAGATGTCCTTTAACTGCAAAGTGCTCCCCAGTGGTCAGGAGTCCTCCTTCTTACACATGTGTGCACACATCCAAGGCTTGCCCCTCACCCAGCGGCCACACCACCTCGAGAGCTCCTGGAGGTCCCACCCTAGTCAGTAAGACACTGGCCTTAAGACAAGGAGATTCTGGAATACTGACACAGGTCCCCAGCTCTGAGCTATACTTTGTAGAAGCGCAAATCTCTCACGTGTTCACCTCGCCCCTCCTCCTCCATCCACATGGAGAGGCTGGGACCTAAGGTCAGACTCAGACTCTGGTTGAGCGTGTTCCTCAGACAGAGGATGTCCAGAGACTCTCCACCCCAGGTCCTTGCAAACGCTGGCAGGTGCAGTCTCCAGGTCAGACTGTCCTTAAGTGGCAGGAGCAGTTGTTTCCTTTTCTTCCTATACATCCCAAATGCACCCAAGCAGGCGTTGAGAGGGGAGGCGCCAGCAAGCTTAAGAAGGCTTTTTTCAACTGATCATCTTGGAAAAGCTAGATACAAACTGAACGGCCAGAATGCAAGGCTTGTGAAATGCTGAAGAAACCCTGAAGAGGGACAAGGGCTCTCCTTCCAGCAAGGCAATGGGAAGGCTGGCAACACTGAGGACAAAAACAGGTCACCCAAAGGGGCCTGTCTTTCTGGGAAGCAGGAAGCAGGGTTCCCGGAAAGAAATTCCCTTGCACTGAGGGGGAGGAGGCCAGCGACAGGTTCATGTGTGTTTCTGAACATAAAGAACACAAGGCCTAGTGCACAACAGTAGTTCTGGTGTAAGTGAGCTTTCATGGCATTAGCATGCTCCTAGTTACGTAGGGTCCACAAGTGAGGTTGTTACCATCGCAGAGACAGAGGCTGTGTATCATGGAGTCCCTCAGTACAAGGCAAGAAGAGGAGACCTGCTTCAAGGGATGACAGAATGTCCCAAGCTTTGGACAAGTCACTTATGAGTTTTCCCACATCTCAATTTTCTCATCTGTGAAAGACATATGAGCTGGGTGTGGTGGTCCCTGTCTGTAATCTCAGCACTCTGGGCTCCTCTTCTTGCCTTGTACTCAGGGACTCCATGATACATAGCCTCTGTCTCTGCGATGGTAATGACCTCACTGGTGGACCCCACTTAACTAGAAGCATGCTGATGCCATGAAAGCTCATTTACACCAGAGTGTAGTGTAGTAACACTACAAATCAGAGTGCAGCCTGGGCAACTCAGTGGGAATCTAGCTCAGAAGTTAAAAAACACTGGGGAGGAGGCCCCCGGTGTCTGTCTACCAGTTGGTTGGTTGGTCTGTCTGTCTGTCTGTCTCTCTCTCATACACATACACACAGAGATACAGGGACAGGGACAGGGACAGAGAGGTTATTTCTGAGCCACCTGAGGATGAATTAATGTGGGGTAAGGTTCCTAAACATCAGCTGGCACAGGCTAAGCTGGTTCCTGTGGAGGAGTGAAGAGTATATACCCGACTCCCCCACGTAAGCCAGAGCCTGGCTGCCAGCATCGGGGCTGATCAGCTGTCCTGCACCTCTGATCAACTCAGTAGTCCCTAAGACCACAGAGACCTATGAAGACCCAGGCATCCTCAGGGGAAATCAGGCAAAATAAAGCCTACAACAGCTATTTCTTGCTAGGGAGATCGGTGAACACTGCTGCTAGCACATTTCAGGTTGGCTTTCTCACTCACAATTCAGGTGGTGTCTGAAACTGGGTCAGGCCCCAGAGTGGGCAGCACAGATATTACAACTGTGCTTGCTAATCTGAACTGAGTGTCAGCATCCATCCTGGGACTGCAGGGAGCTTGAGTCTGAGGAACGAAAGGGTGTGATGGAGAATGGAGTTGGTAAAAGAGGACAAGGAACTGCTCACTCGGTTGCTATCACACTGGCAATGGGCACCAAGAACCTCAGGGGAACATCCTGATTCCCTCCAGCTGGCAGATCTCAGATACTGGGGGAGCTGCAGGGAAGGAGATGACCCCAGAGGACTGTCATTATTGACCTATTCCCATCCCCCACCCCACCTCCATACTGGGCATTCAGTCCAGGTCCTTTGCACAGGACTACATACCCAGCTCTGTTTTCATTTTTTATTTTGAGATAAGTTCTCAGTAAATTGCTCAAACTGGATTTAAACTTTTGATCCTCTTGCCTTAGCCCTCCAGAATGCTAGAATTATAGGGATGCACCACCACACCTGGCATCCTCCCACTTTTGTATCTCAAGATAACGGAAGCCAAAGGTTGTAGACTGTAGTCTTTCTAACTTGTGTACAGAACCATCACTCTATTGCCCTGTCAGGAGGGATTCATGGGGATGAAGGGCCTAAGCCCACACACAGGGGTCTGTGTGCAGCAGCTGAAGCGTGCCAGGGTCAGGAGGCCATCTGGACTGCAACTATCTCCAGACAGCAGGCAATCACCTTGAGACTTCAAGCCTACTAGTTCTGGCCTCCTACCAGTGCCAAGGAAGCTGAGTGAGAGCCAAGCTCAGGGCCCAGGCAGAAGTGGATCCCTGGGACTTCAGCAGGAAAGATTCCCAGTGTCCCATGACCTCGCTTGGCCATCTGCTGCTTCCAGGAGGAGATCCTGGTGCCTCAAGCCAGCTACTTCAGGGCAGCTGGCTGGAGAGGCCCGCTGGCCACAGCTGGAAGCCGCTCTGGGGCAGGAACAAGGGAAGTGGAGGCCTCTGCAGGCTCTACCAGAGTCAACTTCCCTACTTCTGGAAGGCAGAGGAGCCAGGGGAGCCAGGGGAGCCAGACGAAGTAGCTCTCCCGGCTCCTCAGCCTGCTCTTGAGTGGCAGCCTCAAACTTCGCCAGCCAGGCCTCCCCATTCCAGCCTCACAGCAGCCGTTCTTGCTTGCTATGCTTCTACAACACATCTCATAGTCCTCCTTCTCATAGACAGCCTTCTGAACTACTCAGGATTGTGTCTTCCTTCCTGTACTGTGCTACATCACTGCCATTTCTGGGGACCGTGGATCAGCAACCAGAATTAGACGATAAGTAGTAGCCATCTCCAGCAAACTGAGCCTACAGCCAGCTTCTGCCACTAACAGTTCAGTTTCATTCATGCGCCCTGAAAGGACAGGCCTATGCATCCCAAATGGCCCCCTGGGCCTTGATCTTGCCACACATAAGTGTGCAATAAAGACTTCTTAGAAAATGGGTAGATCACCCTCATCTTGCAGGATTAGTTGGCCTTCCTTTTAGCCCAAGGCACAGCGGTTTCCTTCCTGGCAGGCAAGACTCCTGCTCTGAGCTGCCAGCTCCCAGGCATCCTCTGCCAGCAGCCATTCCCTAGAGCTGCCCTGGGAGTCGGGGCAGAAGGGGGTCAACTCCAGCCCGGCCCACCACTTGCTCCCTAACAGAGGAAGAGAGGCTTCCAGGAAGTGCATCTGACTTCTGGAGTGGCTACAGTTTCTTCCAAAGACTGTAAAGATCCCTGGACAGGCAGCAAAGGCCTGCAGAGGACTTTTCTTTCCTTCCCTGGCCCCGGTGAGGGCTGGCAGGAAGAATGCCCTCAGCAGCAGGCGTCCAGTATGGGGGTGGCCAGACAGGGAGGTCCCTGGAGTTGCAGCTATCAACCGGAGACCAGGCTCCAGGAAGGAAGGAAGGGCAACTCTGGCTGAGGCCAAGATAAGAGGGGAACCATGCTCAGCACAATGGGTCCCACAAGGCTAGGAGGCCCCAAGTCAGATTTTGCCCCAACCTGGCCTCCTGTCTGTTCACACAGGCCACATAAATATTTACTGCTGTTTAAGTTCCTGCTCCACTGGGTCCCCTTTGAGGCCCTTGCCTACAGCTCAAGATCTGCAAGCTCCCAACCATGGGGCATGCCTGCCTTTAAACCAAGAGGAGACCCTGGCTCACTTGGAAAGGGCCACAAGCATTGTTCTACCATGCAATTCACAGGAGCAGTCCCTCAGGACAAACATGTCCTCTCAACCCTGCCCTGGGACACTGGGGAACTTACGGAGTCCGGTCGTGGGTGAGGCCATTCTGCCGCTGAGGGTTGATTGGTGGAAGAACAGGTTTGCTGTTGATTTCAAGTCCTCTCCTCAGGGTCTCCCGGATCTGCTCTGTGTCTGCAATGACATCACTAAGTCGCCCAATGCCCCTGTAGGCTCCCAGTCATTCCCAACCTTTCTTGAACCTAGTTCAGCAGGCTATTGGGGAAAGGCTACCATGCCGGCCAGTCCAGGCATCCAAACAGGACAGCTGAGCAAGTGCAGATATGACTAGACAGGATGGGGCTCCACGCTCTCGAAAAGCAGCTGTGGGTCTGCATCAGTCTTGCAGGAATCAGGTGGTAGCCCCTAGACCTCAGAAGGACCTTGCCACTGTCCTTTCCTTCCTGCGACTCAGGCCTCGGTCCCAGACACTGCCTGTCTACCAAGGCCTCTGCCACTACCCAGGCCACCAGACATTCTGCCTGTTGAAATGGGTGCTACAAGGGCTTCAAGTGCCCTGCGACACACGGGCTCTGTAGGGACACACGGGCTCTCTGGTGTCTGTCCCGCTGCCCTTTCCTGAGGCTTGGGGCAGTGGCTACCTGAGGTCACCTCTCCACCTTGCTCTACACCAGGAACTCCAATTCCAAGGAGACAGTGAGGACTGCCAGGCAAGACAGCAGCTGCCAGGTGGGATTATCTCTCTAAGGGGTGTTCCAAGGTCTTTGGACGGAAGTTTACTAGTCTCTTTCCCTGTATAGAGAATATGAGCTAACATCTCCCTCGGCACACCGTAAACACATATGAAGGAGGAGATGAACACCTGTTATTCCAAGGGTAGGCCTAAAGTGGGAAAACAGAATTGCTAACTTTCCTGCTGACTTGTTACGAGGGCATGGGGCACCACTATAATTTATACTATTTATTTATTTTTAGTTAGTTTTGGTTTTTTTGGTATCAGGGATCCAACAAATGACCTTGTGCTTGACGTGCCCGCACTTATGCCACTGAACTAAATAAACCCCCAGCTGCTGTTTTGTTTTTGAGACAGGGTGTTACTGCACAGTTTAGGCTGGCCTTGAACTCGCTCTGTAGCCTAGACTGGCCTCAAACTCCCAGCAAGCCTACGTCAAAGCCACCTGCGTTCTGGGATTATAGGCTTCTGCCACTACACTTGGCTATTTTTCTTATGTACTGGAAATCGAATTCAGGGCCTCCTGCTTTCAAGGCAGGTGCTCTGCCACTGAGCTACACCACAACCCTAATTTTTATTTTTTCTGGTACCGGGGATCAAACTCACAACCTTGAGCTTGTGAGGCAGGTGCTTATGCCGCTGAGCTAAATCCCCAGCCCCTAATTTTTATTTTTTAATCAAACAATTTTCCCCTGGTACTGGGGATTGAACTTAGGATCCTAGCACTGAGTTATATCCCTTCCCTTTTTAAATTTTTGAGACAGGATCTTACTAAGTCATTATGTAGCCCAGGCTGGACTCACCTTGTAATCCTCCTGCTTCAGTTTCCCAAAGTACTGGGATTATAGGCATATGCCACCATATGCCTATAATTGTAATTTTTCAACTGTATGCTTATAGTTGTAATTTTTTTAAATAGCCAATAAAGATTAAAATTGTGAATCACTTCTTAAATTGCCTCTTTTGTCCAAAGTAACCAAATGATTCTTTTGTAGGGGCAGTGCTGGAATCAAACCTAGGACCTCAAGTAGGCTAGACAAGTGCTCCATTGTGGCACTCTGTGGTAAGTGATTTTAATACCTGTACAACTGTAATAATTGTATGCCTTCTCTCTGAACATCCTGCATACTTGGTACACTGTCTGAACAAGCAGGACCCTAGTGTGGTGGCCCATTCTTGAATCCCCAGCACTTGGGAGACTGAGGCAGGAGGACTGTGGCAGGTTCAAGGGCAGTCCAGGCTACATAGTGAGTTCAAGGCCAGCCTGAACTACAAAGAAAAACCCTGTCTCCAAATGAAAGAAAAAAAAAAAAAAAAAAAGAAAGAAAGAAAGAAAGAAAGAAAGAAAAGGAAAAAACAGCAGAAAAGAAAGGAACGAGTTAAACCTTTGTACTAGAGGTTTAAATTATCATTTTTAAAAAGAGAAATCCTTTTATGAGTCTTCCCACACCCAAAGGTGTAGCCAGCAGTAGAATATATGTCCAACCCGCACAAGGCCCTGGGTTCTACCTCTAATATCAAAAGAAAGAAAGGAATAAAGGAAGGAAGGAAGGAAGGAAGGAAGGAAGAAAGAAAGAAAGAATGTTCACACAGATATTTTATGTAAGGTGGGAGAAATCTTGCTCTTCAGTAAACAAGGACGGAGGAACTGAGAAGGGAAATAGACAGACAAGCTGCGAACATATGGCATGTAAATGGGTTTCTTCCTTTGGAGCTGGTTAGGGACATCCTTTGCTGAAACCCACAGAGACCAAGATCAAGCATGGGAGCTCCCAACAAGACAGACACATCCTCCTACCCTCCAACCTCGTCCAGAAGGCAGAGGTGCTGGGATGCTGTCACAGCCCTTACACTGCATCTTTAGGACAGCGGCATGAACCACATGCAAGCTGGCTTCATACTCAGGCTTCCCTCACTAAAGCCCTGGAAGGGCTACAGGACAGAGATCTTGGTTCTGGCTTGGCCTGAAGGCCAGAGCTGGGCCCTGTGTCAATTCTGTGGGTGGCCAACATTTTTTCTTGCTCTTGAGTAGATTGTGGACTTTTCCTGTTAACTGCTTTACGGTTTCACTTACCTCTATGACCTCAGATCAAAAGGGCAAAGTGAAAACACAATGTCCCTGTTGGTGATGTATTTGAAATACATATGGAAAACAAGCTAGAAAAGAGCCCCAAACCTCCTTTTATTTCCCTTTGCCTCAAGACTTTGGTTGCTGCTTAAATCAGGCCAGGAAATAAACCACTGTAAGGGCTGTCAGTGAGGCTTCTAGGATGAGACTGAGAAGGAAAAGGGAAGGCACGGTGTCAGCTGCTACCTTTGCCAGACAGCCGCCGGGGCTGTGTGCCGATGCAGATGCTCCGGCTGTCCTCGTCATCTTCAGGGGGCCGGCTTAGGTCATCCCAGGCACACTTGGCACTGACACCACTTAGGTTGGAGCCATCAGTCTCGATGCCTTTGTCAACTCTTTCCTGCTTGAAAAGAATCAAACAGCCAGAGTTCCTTCAGAGAACTGGTGGCCCACGGTTACCAGCACCCTTCCAGCTACCGCCCTTAGCATGTACTGAGCCCTTGCAGGTGCCAAGCATGGACAGCTGCTGCAAGAGCAGGGACTTGGAGCCCTGGTTACACGCATGATGGATTCTGCCAGCCACTGGACTCCTCCAAAGAACCAGGATCGGGGAAAGCCAGGAGAATGAAGAGTCTAGGGAAGCTTCTTTCCATCCACCTTCCAGCATGGTGGCCTTCATACCTCTTTCCCAACCCTTACCCTGCCTGTCCCATGCTGGCCCATGGAGCTGACAGAGCAGTGACAGGATGTGCTTCCTTGAGGAAAGAACAATCCTTGCTGTCCACTCTGATCCTGCAGGAAGCCCCTACCCCACCCCAGTGCTGCTACGGGATGAACCTGGGGAGAGCCACAGTACAGTTGCCTCTTCGAACAGCTAGAGGGGGGTGGTCACCCAGGAGCAGAGGGCTGCCCCATCCTGCCCCGCCCCTAGCTGCCAGCTAACTGGTCTGTGAAGGGTTCTGGATTCAGTAGCTTTTTCTTTCGGCCTAACTGGGCCTAAAGGACAGTGATCATCGGCAGACCTCCCACCCCAAGCCCTGTCTTTGTGCAGGCCTTGGCACTGTGGGGTTCAAACCTCTCCAAACAGCCTCAAGGAAGAACTGTACTCAAAACATCTCCAGGTTTTCTGGCAAAACACTGTTCTGTAACGCTGGGCTTTGAATCAAAGGTCATCTGGAAGGCTCCAGTAACCAGGCCTGTAAACAGCCACATGGCCAAATAAACCTCCTGTGACAGCCTACAGTTCCCTGTCCCGCCTTACTCCCAGGGATCCATAAGCACTAAACTGGCCAGAGAGCCTATAGGGGAAACCCAGGCACTGACCTTATTCCTTTGGACCAGTCACAGGTGGTTTCTCCCTTCTGTGCTACCAACAGAATCGAGGAGCTTGGGGTTCTGAGCAGGGCATGCAGGCCCTGGTTTGCCCAGGGGAGAACCTGAGTTCCTCTCTCTACACTGGCTGCCCTGAAGCCCTCCCTTAGGTGAAGAACTGTTGACAGACACTTCTTGGCTTTTAAAAGTCTGGTCCACTTATTTTATAAGTAAAAAGAAAGAGTTAAGACAGAGAAGTTAGGAGCTTAAGCACACAGCTGGTTAGTAGTAGAGCTTAAAGTGATTTTATTTGTTTGAGAAAGGGTCTCACTGTATAATCTAGGCTGATCTCAAACTAGCAGTGATCCTTCTGCCCCAGCTTCCCAAATGCTGGAATTACAATGTACACTGCCATACCCTACCCAGGGGTAAAGCTTAAATCAGAGAAACAAGACAACTCTCAAATGAACTGATGGTGAGCAGACCCAGAAAGACCCACACAAATACAGAGAAGTTTGAACTTGGTGCACTAGGGGCACAGGAGAGTCAGCTGCACTTTCTCCCATGGTCTGCTAGTCCTTGGTGGCTGGTGTAAGGGAGGTTGGGGACTTTAGATGAGAACTGGTCTTCAGACAAAGGGTGGTTTGCCTACCCTACCAGTTTAAGGACCAGGTTCACTCTGAGTACCTGGCACTTACGACAGTGGCCCACAGTGCTCATGCCAGATCCCTCTGTGGCTGCAGAGCAAGAGCTCAGGGCAAACACTGCCATCATGGCTCCTGGTTTATGACTTGCAGTTTGTGTGGTGCAGGTAGAAGGAGCCAGCTCCCTGCTGCTCCTGTTCCCAGTTGCCCACAGGACAGGAAGTGATGCTCTTAGGGTTTTCAAAGTTCGCCTGTATGCCAAAGAAGCATTTCCTCTAAAACTCCAAAGCTGCACTGACATTGCAGCTGGCCATGCGAGGGGCAGCAGCAGGCTGAGGTGTCTAAAGACGAACGTGTCAGGAAAGGTGATGGAATTCTTGGACCAACCAGCATGCACACTGCAGCGAGGCCAAGGGGCCCGTATTACCTGGGCCACTCTCCGTACAACAGCTCTTCAAAAGAAACTCTGTTCTCTTAAGAAGGGAAAGTAGGGGAATAAATCTTCAGCAAGAAAGCAACATCCACTGCGCGTATTTTCTTTTGCTGCGGGTTATTCTAATTTTTAAAGTCGATACATAATTTACATAGAACAGACTCTGCCTTTTTGGGGCTGAAATCCCTGCTCCCTCAGGTGCCCTGCAGTGGTCAGGGGCAGGCTCCAAGTCAGGCTGTACTTCTCATTCCCACACAGAGCCGCTCCTTTTTCTCAGGATGAAAGCCAGTGCTATTTGGAAGAAGCCTAGAAGCAGAGTACTAGTAAGTTCTCCTCACTCAAGACATACTTGCAGGTGTGGATCGATCTCAAATATGGTCTCTCCTCTCCGCATGTCAGTTATGAGCCAGGGGCCGCCAGCGCTGTGAATGAGGAAAGGGAAAGCAACAGTGTCAGGTTCTGTAGCACGGATGCCAGCCTCCCTGAGTTATGGTGCAGAAGGACCCTTACCCCAGACCAGGACAGCCTGGCCCCGGGGGCTGATGGGGGCATGCACTCACACGGGCACTGTCCGAAGCAGCTCCAGGATTCCTTGCCCGTTCCACTGCTGAGCTGAGTGCAGCTCCTCTGTACAGACGCCAACAATCTGAAGTCCGGAACAAGATTCCACTGTGTTACTGGTCAGCCCCCATCCTCAAAGGTCAGCCACCCAGCTTCACCCACAGCCCCTCTGCGTGCCTGCAGTGCTGTGTGCACAGGGAGGATGCCCTGAGGAGGGAGGACTTCCGGCAAGGAAGACCCACTGAGGCCACACTCTCACTCTTGCCTTGATGGGTCAGGCGTCTGGCTAAAGCAAGGCCCAGCTCCCAGTGACAGAAGAGAAAATGAAGGCCTGTGCCAACTCAGACCTGGTACTGAGCAGCAAGGCAGGGTCAGGGAGGCGGCCTCATAGATATAGGCAAACCTTTCTACAGACCTCATCATACCCAAAAGCGAGTGCTGACGTGGGAGGTCGGCCTGGAGCTGGCTTCCTCTGGGAAGTCCTGTGCCTGCAGCCCACCAGATCTTCAGCTCCGAAATTCCCTCTGTTACTCCCGCAAAACCACAGCCCTTCCCTCCACCCCAACTGCCCTTCCCCTACCCAAAACCTGATGAGCCACCTGACAGATTATCAGAGTCTGGAAAAGCCCACTGCAGCGGCAGCCACTCCCTTCACACCTCCTGCCTGTACCTGCTCCTCACCTGAAGGAAGGTGACCACCCCGAAGGGCGTCTGCACAGGCTGCAGCTGCGGGTCCTCTGTCAGCAGCATGTGCTGGATTCTGGACTCACTGTTATCCAGAGGGCTGTGCCAGGACACGTGGTCCCCACTGCAGAAGGTGTTCTCTGTGGAGAGACGGGGGATGCTCAATATCTGGGGCTTCAGGAGCCTGGACCAGGAGGTGCCTGGTCTGGGCGAAGCCCCTGAGGAAAATAACAGCGCTCTCTCCAGGCAGAATCGAGGAGCTTGTGGACCAGGACAGCCTGGCCCCAGGGGCTGATGGGGGCCAGGCTTACTTACTTACTAAGCTAAGTAACCCCCTCTGCTGGCCTGCAATGGTGGAGAGCAGAGGCTTCCCAGAGATGCCCCAATACCTCACTCTCTGCATGTCTACATGGTGTCCTCAGTACCTCAGTGGGGTATGTGAGAGGGAGTGTGGCAGTCTCTCTGGGGGCACAGCCACCGCCCAGCCTTGCTGCTGTACTGTACACACACCTGGCACTGTAGGAAACTGTTTAAGGCAGCAATAAGCACAGGGGACCCCACCGTGCCTATACACCTCTGGCTCTCATCCTGGGGAGCCAAGCACACACGTTTAGCAGCCAGTGAGCAAGAAGCAGGAGGATTACTGTGAACTCGAGGCCATCCTAGGCTACGCAGTAAGTTCAAGGTCAGCCTGAAGTACATATCAAGACCCTGTCTCAAAAACTAAAACTAAAATAAAAAATAAAAGGAAAAAACGTTCATTCTATGAAGCCAATATTACTCTGATATCAAAACCAAAGAATTATAAAGATAAAACCAAAAAATAAACCACTGACCGCCAGACGTGGTGACTCATGCCTGTAAATCCTAGCACTTGGGAGATTGAGGCAGGAGGATCGTTGTGAGTTTGAGACCAGCCTGGGCTACAAAGTAAGCTCAAGGCCAGCCTGAACTGCATAGCAAGACTGTCTCAAAAAGACAAAAAAAAAAAAAAAAAAAAAAAAAAAATCATTGACCAATATTCTTTATGCATATAGAAACAAAAATCCTCAATAAAATATAGCAAGCTGACCGCAACAACTTATAAAGAGTGTTATATACCATGACCAAGGGAATACAAATGATTGAGATATAAGTATATTATAAACATATACTGATAAAAAATAGCATCAACAAAAACAATGATCATGTGGATTTATCTCAGAAGTGTATGGTTGGTTTAACATAAGAAAATCAAGCCTGTGAGCCAGAGGCAGCAATTAGGCCAGCTCCTACACAGCAAGACCCTATCTCAAAAAACAAAAAGGACAACAACAACAACAAATCAAGCTAGGCATGATGGCACAGGCCTGTAATTCCAATACTTTATACAGGAGGATTACAAGTTTGAGCCAGCCGGGGCAACTTGAAGACTTAGACCCTGTCTCAAAATCAAAAATAAAAAAGAGGGAGTGGGCGTACATAGCTCAGTGTGAAGACAATCCCAAGCACTGAAAAAAAATTGTTTTTCAATATATCAACCGAGTAAACGTTTAAAAAATATCAACAATCATCTCAGTAGACAGAGAAAAGATATTTGACAAACTGTAACACCTTTTAATGATAAAAACACTCTGCTGGGAATAGATGGAACTTTCTCAACCTGGTGGAGGGCATCAACACATGTTCCACAGCTACCATGGTACAGGGTGGTGAATGACTGAATTATTTCCTCTATGATCTGGAACAAGATAGAGAAGTCTAGTCTCACTACTTCTAGTCAACCTGCATTAGAATTTTAGTCAGGACAATTAGAAAAGAAAATGGAAGTCAAGACATCCAGACTGGAAAGGAGGAGCTAAAACTACATCCGTTCATGGATGACATGATCTTCAAATAGTGCAATACAAATTAGAACCAGTAAACAAGGTTAGAGAGGTTGCAGGGTACAAGATCTATATGCAAAAATTATTGGTTTTTCTATATATTAACAACAAAGACTCTGAAAGTGAAATTAAGAAAATTTCTTTGGGAGGGCTCTTCCAGTGTCACAGGACCAAAGTGCTTGCCCCTAGCACATTACAGTGTGGACCCCAGCTGGATGGCTGTTTTCTGTGACTTGTACAAGCTATAGCCTGTATAGGAAAGACTCTAGGAGACCCTCAAGCTATGAAATGGGATTAAAACTTAAAAGGAGGAGACCCCGTCAGCAGCCCTGAGATCCGGCCACGGCCATGCTAGAACCCATACAGCTGTACAAAGAAGCAATTCACTCCCCTCTTAGTAAGCGCCTCTCTCCGCCATGAGCCAGGAGATCCAGTCAGCGTCCTGTGAGCCTACAGTGCATGGGCCAGGAATCAAACATTACCTTACCTTCCCCGGGGAAATAGGGGCAGAGGTCTGAGCATCTCTTGGGAGGATGAGTGTATGCAACATAGCAAATATGGGGGATCTCCTTCTATCTCCTGTTTGAAAGCAAATGTTGTTTTCATGGTTTTGTTTCATTATGATTAATTGTTTTACCCTATCCAATAGTCTCTTTTGATTGGTTTTATAAAGTTCTGTCTTTGGTTTGATTTCGCTATACCTGATTGAATGGACTATTGTGAAGATAACGAGATATACTCTGGTACCTATTACTGTTATCATGGTAACCTGCTCTGAAGTTCTGTACCAATTTCACCACATTGTCTCGATTGGCTTTGTTCTGTTGTATTTCTACTACCTTCAAAAAATTTTAAAAAACTAAAAAATAATAAAAATAAATGAAAATTAAAAAAGAAAATTTCTTCACAACAGTATCAAAAGAATATAATGTTTAGGAATAAACTTAACAATTGGAACAAAACAATTAACATTCATAGGACTGGAACAATTTTGCATGTTGTGTCTGGTGATTTGAGGAATTCTTGAAGCTCACTATGTAAAATAACAATCCTAGTTATGCTACCACCTTATTTTGAGTTTAGCCTTTTTTTTTTTTTATCTTTTTTTTATTTTATTTAAGGAGAAAAGAAAAAAAAGCAGAGAAAGGGTACAAGTTATACAGATTTACAGAAAAAAAATGAACAGTAGGAAATCACTAGTTAATGGATTACATATTGTCACCCTAGAAATAATTGTTCAAGACACAAAATTAAAGCTTATAAAGTGGACATTCCATCAATGATACTGCAAACAGTTCTGTTCAATGATCCAATAAAACTCTGTGATATCATTTTCTATCTTATACACTTAAATATACATGCAATTATATAGTTTAGAGCACTTTCTTTTCCTCTCTTTTGTACCATGACTATTACACATTTTGGGTTTCATTGCTCCCATGGTTCTTATTACTTTTATGGAAGAGAGTAAAACCAAATGTGACATAACAGAACAGAATCGGTCAAGTCAAAAGGGTGGACATAATAGACAATGTAAAAACATGATACAAGGTGATCAACAATGGTTACCATAATGCCTCCCGCTATCTCTAATAGAATTGCCTATATCGTTAGTTATAATACAATTGAACAAAACAGTAAAGAATAAAAACGACAAAACCAAAACATTGGAGACATTGTAGGTCTTCAAAAGTAGATAAAAGTCAACGAGAATGGGCGTTATAATGAATCTCATTATCTTCTCAGCTGATGCCTAAACTTTCGAACCTGATACTATCCAGCAAAACAGAATAGGGGAACATCAGTTAAAAACCAGATGGTGAGAGTAATACAGGGCTTTAAATTGAGGTAATGGAAAGTCAAAGTGGGTTACTATAATATATCCTGCTATTTTTTTTCCTTTAATTAAAAGGATAAAGATAAAGTAAATAATGGAGTGGAGATTGAGATAAAAGAGGGCATAACAACGAAACAGCGCAGATCAATACATAACCATTTAAGCAGAATAGTGTTTCACCACCAGATAATCCCGACCCAAAAGTAGTTACCATATTGTCTCTTTCCTTGAAATCCTTGAGTACAACTTCGTATACTGTAGCATTAAGTATATCAAAACAATGTAAAACCATTTAAGAGAATGACAGCATTATAGAGTATTTAGAATCAACTAACAGAAAATGAACAATGGTTTCTGTATAATCTCCTTGTCTTTAAAAGGTTTTTGCTTATACTATTGTACATAACAAAATCCAATAAGATACAACCTATTTAGACCATTGGAAACAGAAGAACAAAAGCTAGATGAGACTTCAAAACAAGATGGTACTAAATCAGTATTACCTATTAAGATGTCATTTTCTCCAAAATAGCTGTTCCTATCATCCAATCTTCTCTGCCTCATTTCTGTTGAGCTCTTTTTCTGTCAGTAGCTGTCAGTTTGTCTTCTTCATTTTGTTCTCTGCTCCATTCGTTGTGGCCTCCCTGCCACTATTTCTGGGTTCTTTGTATTTTTCTTTTTTTAGAATATCCTGCAATACTCTCTGTAGAGTTGAATTGGTGGCCGCAAACTCTCCCAGTTCCTCTTTATCCTGGAAGCACATTGTTTTTCCATCAATTTCCAGGGACAGTTGTGCAGGATATCTCAATCTTGGCTGGAGATTATTATCTTTCAAAGCTTGAATTATTTCCCCCCATGCTCTTCGTGATTTGATGGTTTGTGCAGAGAAATCTGCTGTAATTCTGATGGGTGTTCCCTTGTAAGTGGTCTGTTTCTTGTCTCTGACAGCTTTTAATATTCTGTTCTTGTATTGAATTTCTGGAATTTTGATTATTATATGCCTGGGTGTTGCTCTGTTTGGGTTGTAGATAGCTGGGGTCCTGTATGCCTCATACATCTGAGTATCTTTACCTTTTGCTAAATTAGGAAAATTCTCCTGGATTATTTCTGTGAGTAGCTTTTGTAGTTCACTTGTTTGTGTCCCTACTTCTTCTTTTATGTTCTTAATCCTTAAGTTATGGCTCCTCTTATCATCTTCTTGTCTTTGTATTATTGCTGTTTGTTTCTTTGTTATTTTTAAGAAGTTTTTCATTTCATTCTCCCATATTACAAGTCTGCCCTCCAGTTCAGATAGTCTGTCCTTAGTTTCTTTCAAGCTGTTATGCCAGTCTTCGATAGACTTCTTAGTTTCTTGGTAGTCCCTTTGAACCTGCTTCACGTATTCTATGCTTTCTCTGTTTTCTCCATCAAACAATTCTCCCCTCTTTTTCTGTTCTTC